ATCGATCAGATCGGCCCAATAGTAATTTGTCCTACTGAGCGATCATTGCAACGGGAAACAGTCAACTTTTTGTAAATTTAGGCAAAATTGTTTACTAGCTAAATTTATTTGTTTCAAAGCTACAGAGTTGCCCTTAGAAATTCCAACATTCCCTAAATACCAGTCGCAATTGCAGGCATTCGCCTGCTGGAATGCTGTTGGAATTTTCAAATTATACTGAGATACGCACAAAGGTACATTAGTAGAGTAACTTTTATAATATTGTATATCTGCAGCTATAGTTCGAAAGATTCAATTTGAATGCATCGTTTTATACGTGCATTTGATTACTTCTTGAAGTAAGGTTATTTTTATCAAGTACATCTGTGTTACATTAACTGTCACACCAAATTGTAAATAGTTTGATAACAATTAACGTGTAAAACATGTAATGGAAATATCGGATTTTGTTCCCTTATCTAAAAGCGACGTCATTTCTAAGCTATCCGAGCATCTATCAGCCAGCTATGGGACAAGCTAGCCTGGTACTTAAATAACCCAATTGGATTTTGCAAGGTTCTTGATAAACACTAATTTCATTAGAATTATAACAAAAAAACTTACTTTAAAAAAAGTTTACTAAAACTTTTGGAGTTGTTTTTCTTTAACAACAAGCTTTAAAGAAAAAAAATCATTTTATTTATATAACCGTGGGTTAATACTGTCGTAGTCTAATAAAATTCTATTGATGCCTTTACGAAATATTTCTCGCTAATGTTAGTGATAGGTCCTCTGATCCGGACGTTCCAAATTTAAAATGATAATAAAAATGCATTCTTTACCGTTCGATCACGCATTAGAAAGTAATAAAGTAGGAATTCAAGCAATTCCCGTGTTACGTTCAAGTTTACATCTGTTTGCGAGGTTATAAATTGGCGCGTAATAATGCGATTGACCTGTAGCTGAAATAAAAATAAACCGCTAACCAACGGTCGCACGTGGCAACACTTTTTAATAGAATCAGCTTACGCTAATTAATACTTTCTTGTATTCATATTAACGAAGTTACTAGTAATAATTCTGCTAATACTTTTAATTAATTTTACTAATAACAAATGGGAATGTTTAGAAGAATGTTTGTTAGAAGGTATATTTGAAACCATTCAGATTTAGATTAAATTTGGCATAGTTAAACATAGTCTGGAAAACACGTAGGTCACTTATTTTACTAAATATCCGCGAGATGTCGCGGGTGAAAGCTAGTGTGGCAAATATAATCATTTATTTATGTTAGTTTTTTATCGCGTTTTTTAAATATTTAGTCTAATATTTCCGTACAGCATTTTTAATTTGACATTATGTAAGTCAAAAACTTCAAAGGAATTCAGTTTAGTTCTATATTCATTACAGATTTTAGTTAACTATGGCTAAATTCACATTTCAATGCCTTCAAAATAATGACGAAATATTAAAAACGACACTACTTTATTGGGAATAATATTCTATTAATCTTAATGTAAGAAATATTCAACGTCTTAAAAACCAATTAATTACATTTACATAACTAATTTCTTTACTTTATCCTAGTATAATATGAAATGTAACTACAGAATATAATTAAAAAAGCTTACCAATACATAATACAGGATAATCCGTATTTATTCTACCGTTGTTTGCACTGTTCACACATTTTCACACACAAAAAACACAATGATTCCCCTTTTTTAAATACTATTGTGACCTTTCCAGACAATTTTACCTTAATTCGATTTTCGTATGTCCGATCGACGCGGACGCCGGACAATTTTGAATTTAGAACACGAGCGTAAGAACGGAGTTCTCTATTTATACATTCTCTGGGCGAGATTACTAACCACCGTATCCTGATCTCTCGGGTTACACCGACTTCGGAGTATTATAAAAATAAATAAATGGTCTCACGCCCTGCCGGAGCTCTGTAGATATTGGTCGTCTTATATTTTGCTAAAGAAATACCCGGCAGCTTCGACGAGTAAGTTTGAAGGAAATTTTAATTTACTGTGCAAACGAGTTACTACTTAGGAGATAAATGATTTATTAAAAATAAATTCTTTCTCTAATTTATGTCTTCAAGTTTATATTTTATTTGATATTTGTCCATTATTTTAAAAAAAGTATCTTCATTGAATTACGTAGTCAATTGTCACAAATATTTTATTACCTTTCTTGACTGCCAGATATACTAATATAAATGCGAGAGTTTGTATGGATGAATGTTATTTACATTCTGAAACGGTTTAACGAATCGTTGAAAGATAAGATAATCAAAATTTGTACTAATATTTGCTTATACTCAGTTTATTCCTAAGTTCAACTTATAAAGTTTATTTGTAAGGCTGCTAGAAAATTTAATTCCGCGCAGACAAATTCGCGATAACAGCTACACCACATAGATTAGATTTTCAATATGGCGGTATGTATCTACACATATTCTGGTAAATACTAAACAAATGGAAAGGGAACAAAAAATAAAAACATATTTTTCAATACTTTTAATGTGTTTTAACAATTTCAATAAAATTCATCCCAATACGAGTACAGTTCTAATGAATTCACATTTTTATATACAACTGAAGTGAAGCGTAAAGAATTGAACTAATATTAATAAATTTACTTTTAAATACATAAGGAAGAAAACGAGAGATCGAAAGTTATAAATTCTTTAAAACAAGGGCCTGTCCCACCACTGGCTGATAGAGGGTCAGATAGTTTATGACGTCACTGTCATATAAGGAATCCAAATCCGATAATTCCATCACATATTTTACACGCTGTATTGTCAGACAATTTACAATATGGTGGGACTTTTAAGCTATCTGAGCGTCTATCAGCCAGTGGTGACAGGCCCTTATACATTTTTAATAAAAGTAAAGTGTATTTAAAATAAAAAATCGCGAACATATTTGGGTACACTAACTTACATAAAATCCAATTTTAAAAATTTTTATCTGTGACCAGGTCGTATTCAAAGTGCTCTCTGACGACACCCATTGTGTATGGTCGTAATAAATAATATATCAACATAATTGACCTAAACTAACATAACACAAAGTCGCTTCCCGCTGTCTGTCTGTATGCTTACATCTTTAAAACTATGCAACGGATTACGATGCAATTTTTTTTTACTATTTATTTAGTTTTTGATGTTTTTAATGTAATGAAAAAAAAATTTTTTTTTCAGTGGTAGACCCCGCTTTAACATTTCGCACGAATGGGCCGGCTTCTCCTCAGCAATACCGACCACACAGAAGACAGGCGTGAAGTGGAAGCAATTCCGCGTTACGTCTGATGATTGTGGTGCCGGAGGCCCAACTTTAGTCCCTTTTCCTTCCCACACATTTTCTTATACGAAAAGGATGGTATTTGAACGTAAATTTGATGGTGCAGGAGACGCATAGAAGGGGAAATGTCCTCTTTATGTGCGTCTGTTATTGCGAAAGTTTATGGGCAGCGGTCGCTTCGACATTTTGGCGGATTCAATTGGCCGCTTGCTTGTTTACCACCTTATGATAAAAAAACACATGTTCGTATCAGCATTGGACAGGTAAAGCCGGGGCGGGTTATATAATTTAACATAATTGTTTAGGGAAATATTAAATAAATCAATATTTAACATTATTTACAGAAACATCACAGCTGTATATAAATTATTAGGAATTAAACGAAATAAATAGTTTTTTTAATATAATATTCGAACTGAAAAAAATCCCGAGGACAAACCAACATGAATTGAGTAGTATTTTAAAGGTTTTCGTTAATTATGTATTATTTCAATATCTACAAGCCTAAATTTATATACATTATTATTATTTATGTATACTCTTGGATTTTATATAAAAAAATCTAAATCCAAAGGGAAATAGGACAGGTTTTTTTTTTAATAAATAAATTATTTTGGTATTTAAATTTGTAAACAAATTTTTAGGAAGATTGTGCGATTGATGGATTCAATTTTTAAATATTACAAGGGATATGAATATTTAAATATATTTGTGTGTATTTATAGGTTATGACATTTGAGGTTAATATTATAATGTCCGATTTTTCATTAATTCAACAAAATTAACAATAAAAATTTATTATAATATATGGGAGACGTTATCAGTCCAATCACTTACTTCATTATTCTCTAAAAATATTTATAGATTTGGTAAAAATTCTAACATCAGTACAAACAATTTTAAACAAACAGAAACCAAAAGAAGATTCCAGAATATTAAGAAAATTTTAATATCGTTTTTTATTTAAACAATGATTTCTGTTAACAATAACCAAATAAAATTTACGGTTTTTCAACCCTTAAATGCCTAAAGTTAAGATACCGGGGTTACAAATCGCTTGGGCTACAATCGATTTTATTTAATATAACGTTTACCCGCGACTCCGTCTGCGTGAAATTAAGAAAATATAACCTATGTTACTCATAGACAAATTACCTTTTTAACGGTGAAAGAATTTTTAAAATCTGCCCAGTAGTTTTTGAGTTTGTTACTTTTGACTGATATTAAAATAAAACGTAAACACACACTTCTTTGTTGCCTAAGATGTCAGCAATTGCAGCATATTTTTGAATAATTCTTTTTTTAATAAAAAGCCCTACACTTCCGTTACGCTTTAGGCTATATATTTTCACGCTTTTAAACTCAGGGGGTAAATATTTTGGAAAAAACCCTTAATGTGGGACAGAGACCATAAGTTGCTGCCAATATCAAGGAAGCAAGGTTGCCATTTGTCATCATGTTATGTCATTTTGACATTAGCTATTGATAATTTGACAAATGTAAACAATAAAATAATTTTTTATAATTTCATGCGGATGAAGTCGCACGGGAACAGCTAGTGACTGATATTTTTCAAGTTAAAAAACAAAAATGAACATATCACGAAAACATATAAAAAATCGTTTTGATTTTTTAGTATTTTTCCCAATTAGTAAAAAAACAGTAAAGGGTATAATACATTTTTCAATTTAAAAAATCAGGCTTTTAAGATTTATTTATTGGATCTAAACGATTTAATATCGATTTATTGTACATCACAATCGTTATATTTGTTACCTGTATCCGTTTCTAATATCGCTTCAGCACTCGGTATAACAATAACTTCGGTCACATTAGAGCAAGCAATATCACAATTACCATCTTTATTACTCTCACAAACGTCGAAAACAGTATCTTCGATAACTTTAGCTTTATCCATATTAAGTTTTTCAACACTTTCTAGTTCTGAGTTATTTGTACAGAAATCTTCTATCTCTGTACACACCCTTTTAACATTCTCATCGATATTCCATTCATCGTCATTGTTTATCGATATTTTAACTAATTTCTCTGTTTCTATATCGATTGTACTATCACCTAAAGTGAAAATAACAGAATCGTTTTCAGACATTCTAGAAATTTCCGAATCTGAATGGGTTTTTAGATAATTTTTACTTGTATTTGGATCTTGGTTTAATTTCATATTATAAATATTCGATTCGCTTCCCATTATTGATGTTGTTGATGCTAAAATCGATAAATCCTGAAAAAAAATAAATTAATCTATACTTCTAGATAAAATTCTACACTAAGGGCCTGTCCCACCAAAATGAAAGTTTAGATGGATGGATGTTAGAGTTTGTAGCCTAAAATGGTAAACGGATCTCAATGAAATTTGGCTTAGATGTAGAGGATAGTCTGTAAGAACACATAAGATACTTGGTTTCGTTTATTTTAATACCACGCAGACGGAGTCGTGGGCGAAAGCTAGTAAATAAAAAAACCTCTTTATCGCCATCCAAAAGTATACAGAGAGTTGTACAAAATAAAAAAATACATGAAAAATTGTAACAGATGGCAAAAAGGGGAGGCCTAGCTTATGGTACTGGTTGAAATCTAGTGTCGAACTGGTTTTTAGCCACCCCCTCCCCCACCTTCCCAAGATAACAATTTAACATGTAAAATATGTGATGTAATCCGATATTTCCATCACATATTTTGTTACCTTATCTGACAGCTAAGTTTAGCTATCTGAGCCTCTATCAGCCAGTGGTGGGACAGGCCTAACTACAAAGATTTTTCTAAAATAGCTAATTTTATACGTTCCAATGCTAATTCCGAAATGAATCTAACTTGTATTGAATTTTATTACTAAAATATACATCTAAATGAATAAACCGTATGCAATCCAAGAGATATATTTATTTCTAAGTATTGAAATAATTATAATTAAGAGCATCGCCAAAAGAACCAAAAAGGGCTATTTAATGTTAGGTAAATGTTTTACAAACAATATAAAAAACATAAAAAAAACCTGCTAAAAAATTATTACACTCCTCCAAATGGAGTATGGAACTATTTGATTGAAACTAACATAACTCAAAAACTACTTGTGAGTTTTTCATTGAAATTAGACTACAAGAAGATAATCATTTTTTGGCTTGCAAAAATATTTTTTACTAGCTGTTGCTCGCGACTTTCCCCGCTTGAGATTAAAAAAAAACATACCTTATGTTACTCACTGATAATGTAGCTTTTTAAAAGTGAAAGTTTTTTTTTTAATTGGCCCAGTAGTTTTTGAGTTATTTCAATACACACACAAATATTTCATCTTTAATATTAGTATAAATGTATAGACTACCCTTGGCGTCGCTCTTGATTCTAATCGAAAACTACCTACATAATTTAACTAAGAAATTCCCAAACTACCCACACAAAGTGATACGTGGACGAAGCAAACAAGAGGACCAACACAATAAATTTAGCCAACCGTTATATACATACATAAATAGTTTCAATATGAACGATTCCTTTGGTGGCTTTTGTTTGTAACGTTCGCCGACCAAAACTAAAAACAAAATAAAAAAACATGACAAAACCTAATTCAATCGGTCAAAATATAAATTCCTTGTATTATAATCAATTTATATTTAGTATAACTTAATTTATCTAACACAAAGATGCGAAAAAAAAAATAAAAAATAAGTATATTGTCGTCAAAAATAATTTTTTTTTTACTCTTTCTTACGCCACAAGAAAAAGAAAAATAAAATGTACAAAATCATTATTAGGGTTGCTATTTCATAAAAACAGTTCTGTTTATTTATTTATGAATTGTTATATACCTGGTCATCTTGGCAGCCGACGCTGCGGGAATGCTTATGCCTTCGTACATTCGTCATACAGTGAGATTGTCCGTCCACTGTCTCCTGGAAGTGTTCAATAAATCCACACTTTAACTACGGAGAGACCGACAGATATATATATATATATACATCAAATAGAAACGGAGTGTTCAAGTAGGGACCGAAAGAGAGATATATGTCAAAGGGAAACAGAGAGATCAAAAGAGAGACGGAGAGAGAGATCAAAAGAAAGAGAGAGAGAGAGAGAGAGAGGGAACATAGCCACAAAGTGACCAGATTGCTGATTGAAGTCTTACGAGAACAGTTAGTTGTCCATAAAGAGGTTAGTTTTCAAATTTATTTCAAAAACCAAGTCTTAAAAACATAAAATCACACAAATAGACAACTGACCTTGAAACGATT